GCGAATTAACGAACCAAGCCATTTGGGCCAGATTTTAGAGTATCTTATACTTTAATTAACCACCACGACACTAGGCTTTATAGTTATTAAATTTTATTTTTAAATTCGTTCGTAAATGGTTATTATTGTACCGGAGATATTTACTAAAATTTGATTATAAAATTTATTTAAAAAAATAAAAAGTATTTATAAATTTAAATACGGCTTTTAAAATTTTACTTATAATTATTTAGATATGGCTTTATTTCTTATCTCTAGTAAAATTATTATTTTAAAGTCTCAGAAAAATGTAGCGTTAGGTTACAAAGATTTCAAAAAATAGATCAATTTTCCTGCATCATACGAGAAATATTTACACAATATGACCAACGTGCTAAACTATCGACCATTTCTCCCACATTAACATTTTGAGTAGATCTACCTGAGCCAATTGTTTCTAACTGAAATTTTCTGGGAAGACAATGAAGTACAACCTCGTGCTGGTAGCCAATATTTGGCTGAGAAGAAACTGCAAGTAGTGATCCAGCAACTGGTTTTGCTTCATTTAGCCAAGTAATAATAGTATCAGCAGTCTGTGCCCGCCTTTCTTCTCCATTTTTATCTCGTTTATTTGGAGCATTAACAGCGGTAACCTTTAAACTTCTTAATCCTTCAGGAAGTTGCGCTTGATCAAAAATAAAAGACATCATTTCTATCTCATTAGTTGGTAACTTTCCTTCAAATTCCCAATCCGAACGGGCAGGAAGAATGGGTTCTGTTTTATTTTTTAACTTTTCTGGAGATTCTTTCTCAGGCACTAATGGTCGAGAGGAACCGAGAAGAACGATTTCATTAAAACGAACACCTCGTTCCCATTCGCTTACTAAAAAGGCAAGACGATTACGAACACTTTGTAATAATCCACCCAATATTAAAGCACAAGAATAATGAGACTGTGCGCTTTTTACTTTATGAAACATTCCCAATTCACTAAATAAAGGAACCAATTTATTTTTTTTATCTTGATATTTATCTATAATTTGCCACCGTTCTTTGCCCTGCTCTCTAAGAAAGTTTTTTTGCATGTCATCAACAATATTTTTAAATGTATTGCTAGTATTTAGATCGAATTGCTCTAATAATTTTAAAAGAGCCTCCGAAGGGTTTCCAGCTTCATCTACCAAAATAGATGAAAAATAATTGACATTGTTTTTTATAATACATTTAGTAGAATTATCTTCGATGTGAAGATGATTTTTTGTATCGATGGCATTGATGAATTTCATTTGAAAAATATTAATTTTAAAAATTACTATTTTATGATATCAAAATTATTTAGAATAGAGAACTTTGCAATTTAGCTTCATATTTATAGAAAATATTTTAATATAACATTTTGGTTGAAGGTATTTCCATACTAATATTTAAAAAGAAATATAAATTCGAATACAGAATACCGAATAACCGAATTATTACGTAATGGTGATAACCTGCCTTACAGTATTTGTACTAGCACTGCTAAATGGAGCCAATTATCGTAACGCCGGATAATCCGAATTTTACTAACGTTAATTCAATAATTATTCGGTCAAATTTTTTTAGATTACACTATTCAGTTATTCAATAACATTTGATGAATTCGAAATGAAATACTAAGAATGTTCTTAATCAAAGCCCTACTTGAAGTATGGTTATATTAATCAACTTAGAAGTTTGAGTTTATTTGTTGTCACGGGTGAAAAGTGAAATTTCCGAAATTAGGTGTAACGGTAATAAAATCTTGTGGTCATAAAATTGTGGCTTCGAAACGGTTGGCGTTACAGAATTTTCGATGGTTACACGTATGGCTTAGTTATAACCGATAGAACGTGAAGAACATTCTTTTGTAGATTGCAAGGTCGGGTGTAACCAGTGATGGGGGAATTAATTCTACATGCGATCGGCAATTCTACAATTGTAGAATTGATGATCTTTAGTGATAATCATGAATAATTTTAGTAATTCTACAAGTAGAATTGTAGAAAGAAAATCTTTAAAATACGCCCGGGGTATAGGTTATTATCCCACTCACAATTTTAGTTTTTTAGGGTTAGGGTTAGTTAGCACGTGATGACTATTTTAAATTTAATTTATTTATTTTTGGTGATAGGTTAATAACCTAAACTCCGAGTCTATTTTAAAGACACCCTTGTAGAAATGACGTATTAAAAATGTTAAAAAAGTTACGTTTTTGATGTTTTAAGAGTTACCTTTTTGATACATTTAAGGGTAGTAAGTTATTTATATATCAAGAATACAATTTATGCAGTATGTAGATCAGTAATGAAATCTGCCCCGCTTTTAATTTTAGAGCATGATAGAGGTTCATTTTGATTGGTTTTCGAATGTAGATCATTGCAGATCACTAGATTAAATATGATTGGATAAGATTCACGTATCATCATATGAAATTCTTGATTTTCGGTAGTATGACAACTACCGCAGTTTCTCGTACGACAAGTGAATTTTTTTTACTAATACATTCTCCAAGCCCTAATATATCTTTTATAACTTTAAGATCTCTATAGATCAGATAGGTTTAGGTACTTCGCCTATGTGTAAAAGTCAGAAAATATGTGAATTTTATAGTTGCTATTTAAATTTTACAGTTTTATAACTCTCTCAGTTGTCCATATAATCAAGAATTTCTGAACAATCTATAAGCACTAAAGTATCTTTTAAGTCTTTTAGATTGTATAGATCAAACAGATCAAACGGGCTAAGGTAGTTACTTATGCACAAAAAATCAACATTATTTTAAATTTGATGATTTATTCAATAGGTAAGAATTTTAGTGATAACATTTATAGATAGCCTCTCATCCATGTTTCTCAAGCCAGGTACCTGCTACCGCACTAGTCTTACATAAAAAGTATTGATATCACATGTTGAAAAAGGGACTTATCATGAGTTTGTACTACTCAGTTTATGTGATACCTCTCAATGAAGTAGTTATATCATATAATCTGCTGGCTTGCATTCTTTCATACAACTTATATTACATGAATGCCCCAAACCTTCTACTTGTATCTTCAGATATACTAGCCTCGTATTTTAAGCCAGACCCTGCTACTATCGCCCGGTTTGCTATTTTCAAATCTTAGCATTTCCTAAGTTATTACTATTTATCAATATTATCTAATGCTTTCTGTAAATCTATTACTATTTCTTCATATGTTTTATTGTATTCTTCTACATCTTCTTCATCTTGAGATTCTTCTTTGGCTCTATCATTTTCAATCAAGGTATTAGATCCTTTTTCAAGTGTTTCTATAAATAAATCAACATTTTTGTAAATTCCAATTTTGTAATACTCCTTACAGTGTTGACACCCATATTCCATTCTGTTATAGCAATGCCAATGAAAACTATAACCACAAATTAATACAGTACCACCTCCATTTCATTTAATTGTTCAAAACAGTTATCACAAAGGTTTGGTAAAAGAGGCACGCTGGTACTGTAGCCTATTGGAAGGCACATTATATCAACATCTTTATCTAAAACAGTAAGTTTATACTTTGAAGGTCTTTTTTTCATTTATATATATATTTTTTTGATTTTTATTACTTGTAATACTAGCAACCATACTAATATATTGAAAAGTTTGATGAAAATAATCTTGCAAAAACAAGAAAATTTTGTCTACTAGATAATTCAAAGTAGAAGAGATATACAGATATCTTTTTTTTGCATTGAATATTTTTTTAAATAATAATTGTTCATTCGTGTTTATTTTTTATTTTTATTTATATTATTAATGATATTATTATACTGTTTAATTAACTTAAATTATTATTATTTTTTTAACTTACCTAGGATGTATACTTGCTGAATAATAGTTTTAGCACTATTATTAGTCAACATACTTGATCACATTTTGCTATAAAAAAATTTTTAATGAAATAATTATTGAAATTCACGAGAAACATTTTAATTATATCAAGCATTGGATGATTTTTGTCTTGCCAATAGAAAATATCTAACAAAAATACCAAAAGAGCTTTGTTGTAATTTTTACACTTCTAATGTAGTGTAAAAGTCTATATCTAAAAAATAGTTTCAATATATTTATCAAAAAAGCCTGAGTGAAAAAGAACAGCATATATATCTAATGTTGTTGGGATTATATTGTTGAAAAGATCAATTAACATTCTATATTCAATGTCTTTTTATATAGGCTCAAATTTCTCTAGTATCTTTATTTTTATTTTAACTATCTCTGATAAGTAAGTTTAAGCAAGAGGTTTATTCTTCATGGTTTTGGTTTTTGTACAAACTTCTTTTTTTTTTCAAAAACCATATGAAAGAGTTTTTTAAAAAAATGATGGTATGTTATTAGAACTTGTTTTTGACTATTCAATGAGACATGGAGTGGTCTTAATATAGGTACAAAGGCATTAATAGTTGATGGTACTGTTGAATTTTGTTGATGTAAATAAGTTAATACCTTCTATATAAAAAGTAATTTAGGCCAGTCGGCAATGACTAGCATTACATAATTATTTGCATATTTTATATCTTTATTTATTAAAATAATCATTTCTAATATGCTTATATAATCATCTAATGATTTGATCAAGATTGGAAAATAGAATATCAACCTAAACCAAAGATAAAAACAGAATGGTATGATTCTGTACTCACAGAAATCAGTATAGAAGAAGTTATACAAACAATTCAACAGTTACCTAACAACAAAGCATGTGGACCACCAGGGATTAGCTATGAAATGATTAAGCATATTGGACCCAATATGTTACAAGCTATTACTTCACTCTTTAATAGATGTATCAATACCCAAAATATT